GCCTTCAGAAATATACTCTGGGTAATAAACGTCTCTGTTAACGACGAACATTTTTCACGGTAACCAAATACAATTCGTTGTTATATCGATAGCCAAATATGCGACAGATGAATTTTCACGTGAAATAGTATAGTGGTTGTAAATTGATATTAGTTCCGTGTTGTATGGTGACATGATAAGCAGTACTCGGTTGATGACAAGTGTGATGGGCTGAATTCAATCCCGCAATGGATGGCGACAATCGAACATAACTTATACAGTGTGAAGCATTATGTAGTTGAAGACTACGCAAAAAATTTGGTGAGTACAGCTGTAGTGCGTCAGTGACACAGCAGTTAAGACGCTCGTCGACCATGGACATAGTCGAAGGTTCGGACCCCGGCCGACGCACACCTGATATGAATGATCGACGTGCTAATTGTGGGCCAGCGATATCACCTGCTGAAAATTTCATACTTGTATCAAAAATACTGTGTGGAGTCAAGCTATAATAAAAAAATAATAAGTATGCACTGAATAGAGGAGAATAAGACAACAGTGAATAGTGTATGTGAAATGGATGATGAGAAGTAATACCACGAGCAATGTATGCGAATAACTCTCTGCATGACAAGAACTGAAAGGATGCTCAAAAACAAAAGCCATACATAATGAAATAGTATGGTGAAAAGAAAAAGCGAAGAGAAGGAGGGACATTTAAAGAGTCGGGGTATTACTCAGTAAGGATTGCCATGGCAAACCTTGTAAGTACCTGAATACGAAGTGCTGACTTTGTGTGTCCTACTACCGTGTATTCAGCTCTATCTAGGAAAAGTAGAGAGTCCGTGTGATGTTCGGAGTCTACTAAGTTTAGCACAAATGACTTCACATTTGCTCGTTACTACATAAGCCTGACATATGTGTATCAAACCTCACTATCTATACAAACTCAAAGACAGTAACAAACTGTATCAAGGGACTGCCAAATTAGATATCCTAATTTGGTGGGTGCAAGGATGTGGTTGATTATTCGAAATACAGACTATATAAACGATGTGGTTTAGTAGGCAAAATGAAGGAATCAGGAGAAATGGTTTTTGAATATAGAAGTTGATTGGTAGGTCAGAGTCGAAGAGTGGTGATCCACCACTGACTTTGCATTAACCTTGCAAATTTGGGCCAAAGGATAGAAATAAAATGAAGCACTCATAACAAAGAGAGGTGTTGTGTTTAAATATTCTTGACCTGTGATAGTCTTTTTTTAACGAGTGTTGAGTTTCATACGGGAATAACTGCAAACAGTTTTCAGTTGCTCTGCCACCATACTGCTTGGTCCGACTCCCACCGGTTCATTTTGCTCGTCAAAAAATCATCGTCGAGGAAAATATTTGGAATAATAATTGTATGCAAAAGTGTTTGATAGCGGGCAAACGGAACTATGAATATAGTGCATGAGGTACTGGTTATAATACAGCCGAAAATGATTAGACTGGCTTATAATTTCTCCAGATAAAACATCAAGTGACTGGTCATTTGACCTGGTCAGGCCTCAATGTTACATCACACACCTTGTGATGAAAGTGCTATATAAACATGCTGGTATGTCGTTTTATTCGTTCCCTTAGATTTACTGCATTCTGTTCATTAATAATGTTTATCTCATAGTAGATTTGGTTTATAATACGTGTTTTGATAATTTAAAAATTTAGCTGTAAATTCCTCTTCACGCAATCTGGACTCTTTATTGTTTGATGTTAGTTGTGTATTCCAACGAATTATGCCCTTTGTTATTATTGTTTCCTTTAATTCCTAGAGGAACATAGGGCTACAGCCGTGCGTATCCATTACGTTCGGTTCTCTGCTAGAGTCTTCACGTGGCTCCAAGTCTGTCCACACACTTTCATCTCCTCTTCACATGACCTCCTCCAAGTCACCCTCACACTGACGACCAACTCGCCGCTTCCCTTTCGACCGGGTTCCACTCGAGCAATGGCTTGTCTAGTGATGTCACTTGATGGTTTCCTCAGAGTATGGCCAATCCACCTCCATTACTTCCTGCTTATTTGCTTCACAATCGGTTCCTGCTGTGTTGGTTCGCTCATTGCCAGAGATCTCTGTTGCTGATATTTTCTGGTCGGCCATCTGATCTTGAGTATTGAGCGAAGAGAACTGTAAATGAAGGTATGTAGTTTGTTTGAGATGTTCTTTATAACGCGCTGGCCAAGTATCTGATCCGTATAGTAGCACTGACTGACTTCACATTGGAGTTGAAAATCCGGATCTTATTTTTGATGCTGAGTGCTGTTGACTTGAGAGTAGTGAACGCTTGTCTTGCTTTTCCGATTCTTGCTTTGATATCCTCCTCAGTTCCGCCTGTAGTTGAAACGATGCTTCCCAGGTAGGTAGGTAAAAGAGGTTGTTTCTTTCAGGTTCCTTCCATATATGCTGATTGTTGTTGTTGTTGCTGTTGGATGTGTTGCCCAGGAATCTTCATCACCTCTGTTTTCTCTATGTTCAACTGAAGTCCTATCTTTGATGCTTCTTCTGCCAACTTGTTGCCTTTTGTAACTGGGTCCAACTGGAACAGGGATTTGGTGAATTTATGAAGGTAAAAATTGACAGTTTGATGGCTTCTTTTTAAAGAATGAAATACTTCATGCCCAGTTGCTTCAAATTGTTTACTCCAATGAAATACGCTTACCTGCAGTATGAACGCACTTTTTCAAGCCACAGTATTACTCGATGTGGTGGTTTGAGGAACAAAGTGTAAGTTGGTTGTTTATGTAGGAATATAATTGTTGTAGGCGGCCTTAGTGTTGGATGCCAGTCCGTCACATCTGATTGTATCCTGCTAAACTGTATATAAACACCCATGCACCAAGATGCATTCAGACGTAGATTATCAGAAGATGAGATGTGTAGCGTGCAGTCACTCATTGAGAAGAATACTGGTGTTTATGGAATAATGCATTTGGTACATTCATGGTGTGGTAGAGTTGGTTTTATCTCGAAAGTCATTTTTGTCCACCATGATATGGTTAGTCTATACTAAAAGTTTCCCCAAGTAGTGCACCTACAAAACCAATGAAGGTAGGAAAGTACACATA